ATGCTTTCACAGAAGACTTCGCCACATACACACTCGACTCTTCCACGCTCTAGAAGATATTAAGCAATCTTTAAGACAAACTTAGTTAAGATAACTAGTATAATGACACGTATCTTAACCAGACATTATGAAGAGCATTCGACTTACGCCCAGCGAATCATCGGCTATGAAGAGCAGGAAAGGAACGTCGCAAGGATCGCAACATAATTGCATTTTGCTGCAAATCAATTGGCTGGGTCCAATTGTAATTGACACAACAGGTAATCGTAAGTGTCTTATCGTTGGCGCTTTGCAAGGCAGGCCAAGAAGATATTACCACAGCAATATTGAGTGGGTGACGGCATTGATTTCTCGAATTGGCTTCAAGAATCCGAACTGATATGGCTGTTTAATCGTTCAGGGTGCTTTTGAATTTCGGTAATACGTCTAGTCACAAAAGTACCCGGTTCATTGGAATGCCAAGATTTAATAACCCTTTCTTAATCTATCGCCGTCCGTGCAATCTTTGGACTATAATATATATGATCAATTATATCCTTAGTCTTTGCTTGTAGGTGGCTCGAACCTGAATCGATGTCACCAATGTGTCTGTGAATGAGAATCATGTTGGCAACAAGATTCTTATACCCTGCTCAATGCTTCGTATCATCAAGAACCAAATCATTCTTGTTCGAAAGCCCATTACGCTAGCAAATGTTTTGGGTTTATGTGCTTCTTAGACAAGTTGTGTATCGACCTCATATTGAAAAAGATTAGCTCCATACAGTACCCAATCGCTCCTACAAAATGTGTTGCTTTCATTACCAACGTCTGTCAGTTCGTGAAATTTGTCTGTGTCAATATTAAGGCACTTTTTAGCATTTTCGCGATCATAAATCCAAATAACATGTCTACAATGTCGGCAACAAGCTCGTTATCAAGAACATTCGCGTAATCATCTACTTGTCGTACCTTGGCTAGTGAATTCTGTATTCTCAATCCTAAACTAAACCCAACAGCTACACATGCACTCATTCTTACAATATGCTAAGAAACAAGAAAAAAACGTTTGATTGTCTTCGAATACACCGAAGACTGATTGCGAGATCGAGTCTAAGGCGTTGCAGTCAGAATTCTACAAGAATACAACAGTGTCCAGACGCAGCACAAGTCGTTAGAATCTGCACGTAAAGCAATTCGTCAAAATTCCTTTTATTAATTATCGCTTTGTCGATTTGACGTGAGATTTAGCAAGTTAAAAATGAGAAGTGCAGTCAGGATCGATTGCAACTATAAAGGTCCTGTGTCACGCCATCTCAAACGACGATTTGCCGTGCACAATCTCAAATAACTCCGATCGACACTATTCTGCGCAAACAGTGAATACCATCCATCAGCTTGTACTGTCAATGTACCGTCACGTGGCATTATGGCTGCAAATTAATTGCTGATATGCTTTAATCTGAGCAGACCTTTCGATGTTGCGGTTCCAGTTTCAACGTAAAATCCAAAGGTGTAATGATGGTAGAACATTATTTGACGTCCGACTTTATATAACATCTTACAAATTATTACGGTAAAGTGCAAAGCGTTAAAAGCCGCGTGGGAAGTAAGTTGTTGAGAATCGACGCTTAAAGTAATCGATATCTTTGGTCCACACTGCAATTTTGCCGCAGTGGAACAGCTCTATAGATCCGCACAAAGACTATCACATTTTCAGGTTTGACATCGTATAGTGTCTATAGGCGTGAACCTTTCTTGATACTGCAAAGGGTGAGAATTGTACTTGCGCACGCCGAACCATACAAACACCTTCAGATAGTTCTGGAGACCCTTAACAAAGAAGCCAGACTGCAAAAAAAACTGGTCCTGTCTGGTCCTGATACATCTAAGCAAATCGTACCTACCAAATTGGAGAAATTCAAGTATGCACACTCATTGACAATGTATTTTTAACTGGGTATGCGCGAAACGTTTGCCTAAAAATAAAAACGCTAGTGATTTTTTTAGCGCTAGCAATGTTGGTATCATTACAAACTCAGGCATGTAATTCAGAATCTTGTCATACGGAACGTTCTGTACATCAGTGATATCTTCAAGATGACGAAAAATTGACAACGTAATGATGTCTTACCATCGATTTTTTGCTTCGGTAAAATAATAATTCAAGTTTCTTCAAGATTTGTTTTCTCGGTTGAGAGCCAAGTTTAAATTTAATGATTCGTGCAAACAAAAATTCTGCAGTATTTCGGAGGAAAGTCACAGCTTGCATTTGTCATTTATGTGCCTTGCGCCGCGGCGGCGGATCTTCTGAGTTTGTTCTCGTCACCGCGTGGCTGGCAGCAAATTTGAATCTGTTGCCGTCACTGCCCAGCCCAGACCATCACCTTTTAGAGGCAACATCCGGAACTAGATCTCAAACTTAAAGATTCTTATAATATATTTTGAGTGCCAACGTTATATAAACAGCACCAAGTTTGCATTGCAGCCGCAACTACAACTCGGTTGTTTACGAGCTGCTAACTACAGGTCGATGAGGGCCTGATAGCAAGAAAACAATTTGGCGATTTGTCATGTGATAAATCATAAAGTCTGAGTCGTTTTGTGCCGTTTTTTTGTCTATATAGTTACAAAAAACTTTGCCGAGCTGAAGACTAGCGGCAACAACCGCGCGTCAAACAGCACACTTTCACTAACACCGACTGACCAACACAGAACAATGGCTTTGCGCAAACGCCGCTCAGGTTCCGACGGCATCGGCCCCAGGACCCCCCAGGCCGCGTTGCCAGCACCGAAAACGGGCGGGCTCACTAAGTTCATGACGCGCGTCATTGTGGGTTTTGCCATGATCGTTGGCTTTATCGCTATTCTATACGGCGGTCATATGTACGTCTGGGGGCTTGTAGTCGTGCTTCAGACGCTACTTTTTCGTGAGCTGGTAAATGTGCGCTATCGGGCCGCAGCTGAGAAGAACATTCCATGGTTCCGCTCTGTGCAGTGGATGTGGTTCGTTGTAGCACTTTTTTACAATTACGGCGACTCGTTCGGTGCCTTTATAGAGAGCAGCAAAATTCGCTTTGTGCCCGACGTCATCGTGCACTATCTGCGTTATCACACGTGGGTCTCATTCACCATGTACGCTTTGCTGTTCGTCATGTCCGTCCTGAGTCTTAAAAAAGGTGCGTCAAGGTGTTTACAATTGTCGTGGTGTAGTGCTGCTTCATCTGTGTCTAAACTCTACGTCCTGGCGAATGATCAAGAGTCTAATGTGCTGTTGTGGTATACTTTTTATGATGAGATCCCAGGTTATTACAAGTATCAAATGGGTGCGGTCTAATTTCTGCTAAAGTATCATGATTAGCTTGAAAGATTAATAAATAGTTTTTACTACGTTAGGCCAGTACACGTGGACAATCGTAACCCTGGGCTTAATCGTCTTTCAGATGAAGTATGTGCTTACCAACATTTTTAACGGTATGATGCGTAGATTTTTCAGTGCGCGACTACAAAAATTAATGCCAATGACGTTTGCAGGTCTGTTTTGGTTCCTCTTCCCCGTTTCGCTGGTGATTTGCAACGATTGCTTTGCATTTTTTTCTGGAAAGCTTTTTGGACGAAAATTTATCAAGACTCCATTTCTTCGCTTGTCTCCCAATAAGACATGGGAAGGGTTTATTGGTGCGTTCGTTTGTACTATGGTCTACGCTTTCTTCTCTAGCGCCTTTATCTCGCAGGCAAGTAGCAGTTGTTGCAAGCGACAGCCTTTTCTTGTATCTCATAAATGTTTCTGCTGCTGCTTCTAGTATTCATGGTTGACCTGTCCAGTCGAAAGCTTTGAGGTGCAAATTTCTACATCGACAATTCTCATCTCATCTGGCTAACACTGTATTCACGATGCCTTTGCTCATTCTCCGTTGCAGTTCAAGCTGGTTGCCGACCCCTTGTCGTGTACGCCGCGAGATGTGTTTCTTTCGCACTATTATGATCTACCTACTTTCATAGAGCGTATCATTGGTCAAAGCCAGGTTCGACTTCTTCCGATTCAGGTGCTCAAACATGCATTGTTGAAATCGAACATTCGTGCTTATATGTGCTGGCTGATATCTGATTTGTCATCATAGCTCCACTCGTTTTGGTTTGCAATTTTTGCTTCAGTTGTGTCACCCTTTGGAGGCTTCTACGCGTCGGCTATAAAGCGCACGTACCACCTTAAGGACTTTGACTCTGTCATTCCGGGACATGGTGGTGTCATGGATCGATTGGACTGCCAACTGATCACAAATTGTTTCACGACAGTTTACTTTAACACCTTCATTCGGTATGCTTAGGCGGATGGATATTCACTGACACCTACTTCTTGTTAATGAATTTATTTTTTATCTAGTTCGCAGTCGCCGTCTGTGGCGCTAATTCTCAATCTCGTGATACAATTGACAGACGACCAGAAACAGGATGTGCTGAGGGCTATTCAGGAGATGCTCCAAGGGTAAGAGCATCATTGACATAAATGCGCTGCCTGCCTTCTTTGCTTAGAAAACAGCATCACTTTTGAGTCAATACTAAACGATAACTTTTTCCAAATCAATTGTGTGCCAATTCTTTATTTTTTATCTTTATAATGGCGAATGAACAAATAGACGAGCGATTCAGTCTGCGCGTCCAAAATCTACCTGCCGCATTGTCGACGAATGCAATCACATCGCTTCTATCCCACTATGGAGCCATTTGTGTCCGTGTGCTGCAAAACAGAGTGTGATGAATTTGAATGAACTTCGACATGCTAAAATTTGTCCAAGGTTAGAATCTGACCGTGTATGTATTGGGTAGAATGCAGCCTCGAGCGGTAAGGAATCAGGAACTAAACCATCACAACATTCTCAAAAGGCTGTTGCGGTATTTTCGACGAGAGCAATTCAGCAGAATGCGCAACAGCGCCTCAATTCGTTAGAATTAGCTGGTCACCGCCTGCTAGTAGAAACATTTGGCGACGGTGCTGCGAAGCAGTCAAAAGAAAAAGAAAAGGATAAAGAGACCGGTGGGGTTAAGAATAATGACATTATAAGCAGACAACCTCCACTACCGATAGGTTTGCCACCGCCACTACCACGACCAGCTTTGCTAAAACTTTCCTATACTCCAGCGCCGTTGGCTCCGCATCTTGGGTAAGTTGATGCCAGTACCCGTTGCAGTGTTGAGGATACGGTAATGGTAACATCGTAATGTGGACAGATTTAACTATGCGCCGTCCCCATTGCTTGCATACAAGTATCCAAAGGCTACTGAGAGTATTGTTTGCAATATTGCTAACGGTCCGACTACAAGAACACTTCATGATATATGCTGAATGTCTCACTGATTACTCTTTATTTCTATATCTTTCTAGCTCTGATTGCGTTGCCCCGATTCTATACTCAAGTTCTTCATCTTATGAACAAGATGCATCTTCCGCCGCCATTCAAGAAAGATGCGATTCCAGGTCGATTTACACTTAAAAATGTCGTAAGCTACGAAAACGAAACTAAGCAATGGAGGAGCTCAAAACGTCGTAAGACCGACTCCAGTCACAACACTCAAATGGTCGAAGAAGACGAGGAGGATCGAGAGGAGGTCATTGACAGTGCAATAGGGCGTACCACTAGAGGTCCCGAAGCGCAACCACAACCAGAGCCTCATCAGCTAAGTGAGCATTTGCATAATCGAGCGACATTGAATAAAACTGATCGGGAGCCGTCACATCGAAGTAATATTTCCTTCGGAGAGCTGCTTGGAAAGCCCCTGACACGTCCGCATAAATTGCTTTCGAGAAGTAAAAGTACCTTCCACGCGGCATTTCGAGTTCGGACTGAAGACCACCAAGAAGCACATCGATCGAATCGTCTAGGTGTTATCTCAACTAACGAAGTTAATCGGCAGCGAATAACACCTGAAGGTGATTCGTGTTCAGCTTGGCAAATTTTCTGGCTACATTTGCTCATATTTACCGTAATGTGCGAACAGAAATATCAAAAGAGCCGCTAATGGAGTCCTACGTTCGTGGTTTGCCATCGAGTAAAATTATTGTGAAGAATGTCGCACGTGAAGTGGATGAGAAAGATTTGCGCTGGATATTCGGTTACGTTTTACCGATGCATATGGAGCTGGAGTACGTGGTGCTAACATTATCGATACTGGAACCATGCCCACTGATCAGATATGATGTATTCGCTGATTAGTTTGATCAAGATCAAACTTCTTTCTGCAAGATGTGAGGCCATAATTGAATTTCCTGATCAGCAAGTGGCAACAGCAGCAGTCAATGTGCTGCATGGTGTTCAGCTAGAAGGGAAGACGCTGATTGTGGTATGTGAACGACACCACCTCTCCTTCTCTCATTACTGCGATCTATTCATGCCATTATTCTAGGCCTTTCACAACTCTGCGGAAAAGTTCTTGACTGTGAAAATTAAACATTGGACTTTGGAAGAGTTAGCAAGAAAACGCTTGTCTGATGCACATCTCATTTTGGAAAGGGCCATGAAGAATTACCAACGTGGGGAGCCATCCTGTTCACTATATGTGAAGAATCTCGCCAAAACAGTTGTACTGGCTGACCTTATCGCTGTCTTTGGCGCTGTTCTGCCACATGAATTTGGACTAGAGTACATGTTTTAACTCGGGCGATGTGCAGAGTCGTCGTTAACTTTAATCTTGCTGTTATGACATAGAACCTTAGCAATCCATCACTTCACTGAAGGTCGATTAAAATGTCAAGCATTCGTGACATATCCTACGGTTGATGTTGCTTCAAGCGCCATGCTTCATGTTCATGGTGTCGTACTAAAAGATAAACCGATGATTGTGGTAAGATCACAAATTTGAGTAAACTTTTGTCCATATAATTCACAAAACGCAATGTTCGCTAGTGCTTTCGTAAATTTCAAAAGACCCAACGCTGAACTTTACTTTGCTGTCCACGTACACCGTTTCAAGTCTTGGCTCGTATTTCAATCTCTCTCATGTTGAGGAAAATCGCGCAACTTGGCTTCACTGATGCTATTGATTACCCACAGGTAATTCACAATGACCAACAAGGAGACTGAACTCAATTGCGGCTGCGTTTTTAGCACTTTAGTCTGCTGACGTAGCGCAATTGGATTAATTTTATCGGACACAATAATAAGCTTTCGGGAGCGATTCTCGAGCTTTTGCATTTTTTGAGGAATGTCATCGATTGAAACAATAAGCCTTCCACCACCCATGTTTATCAACGTATGTAATTCTGATTTCGGTGGCATAGGGGAAAGGAATTCACCAGTCAAATGAAAGCAGTAGTTTGCGAACAACATCGTGCCAATGTTTGTGCGGTCCATCTAAATACAAAGCATAGGCGAAATGCACATTAGGCATCCAAAAGTAACATTGTAAGTCTCTATTTACAATACACTTGGTAAAGACAGCTGAAGAAGCTTTTCTCGAGCCATACGTGAGCGCTTGACGGCATTAGGAATTTGTCTGCCTTTCCAATGACCGTCAGCTTCATAATTTTCTTCGCTAATGTAGCCACAATGGGCGGCACAGGCTACAAAAGCAAAATCAGACCAATTGAGTGTTGTGCGGAGCAACCATTAATAATCAGGTTACCTTGAAGCCATTCGTCGCTCACAATCCAGCGACCTCCAATCAATGCCTTGAGGTATTTTAATGACCTGATTTTCACCCAGCGTCCACACATTTCGTCTTGAAATAATTTACGCTTACCATTGAGTTGTCTTTGCGGCGAAATGCCAGAGTCAGAATTGTCGACCAAAGGATCCTCTTCGATATCATTCCCACTGACGCATTTCACTATTAAATGCGTAACATCGTTGGACCAGTGATTGACGATTTTGGCTCCAAGTAGTTCAGCCCATTTGATAATCTGCTGCATTCGATCCCCCCTGAATCCAGAACAGAGAAACACCATTCCAAATTGCTTACTGTCAGCTATTAAGTTTGTCTTGGTTTTCGTCTTGACACCCTCCTCACCGACGAAATGAGACAATCCTTTCTCTTTTGCAGTTAGTAAATTTGAGGAAGTCATGGGATTGAGAGACTGCCGACGATGGCGTATCTTTACTGCGCGACTTGGTGTCGAGTCTGAGACTAATTCATCTGCAGGTCTCCGAATGAAAGAACCAGGCACGCGATTATCTGTGCCAGACCCAATCACAAATTTCACTGCGTAAAAACCATCTCCATGGACCTTAGTTATACGCCCTGCCCCACCTCTTCGATTAATGCCTATCCATTGTCGTTCGATCACATCCACCAGATCTCCAAGTTGAAAAGCCGCGACTCGCGTGAGAGACTGCCCTTGGCTGGAATAAAGCAGTGATGAATGCTTTGCTGACTCTGCCGCACCATTGCACGATGCTTGTCTTCTATCAAGCGCTGATTTTGCTTTTGCCAAAGTCGTCAGCGCATTCGTGCTATCTGCACATCTTATACCTTCAGTCTTAGCAACTCCCCGACTATTCAATATCGCCAAGGTATGCGACTTTACTTCCGCTGCATTTACTCTCATTTCGTTTTTGTAATTACTCACACCAATTGCATCTGAATTTGAACGTCTTCGTCGTAAAATTAATCCTTTCGTGCCTTTTTCATCGGTGTTTAAATCTGTAGCTGACCGTCGCCGTCGTTTTGATGTCTCGTGCTGCATGAATTCGACTATTTCTGATTGAGTTTCAGCCACGATGTGATCGGTTTCGTCTTTCTCCAAATTGAACTTCCGCCGCCGTGATGAAATCATTTTTTGGTCGTTTTGCTCTGCTGCTTGGGTTATTTGTATTTCATCGGTATTGACTATGTCTAATGTTTGTGCTTTCGTAATAGATCGCTGTTGTCGTAGAATATACGTTCGAAGATCTAGACTTTGTCGATTTCTATCCAGTGGCATGTCTGTGGCGACAGTATGCAAATCAGTTTTACGGGTATCCGAGCACTGCCTCCATGATACCAAATTATCCTTATTTATTGTATCATTCGTCGCACTTACGTTGTGATTGCTTGACGTTGAGACCTCACAAAGTGCAGGCAATTTTTTTTGCGTTGCTTCCACATTTCCATCAAATTTCCGCGACAGCATTCTCCATTTGGCTGAATTCGCAATTGCCGTTGAAAGGGATTCTTGCTTGATTTTCAGACCATTTATCAGATGCACGGTTATTCCACCAACCCTTTTCTCCATCAGCGTCGATTGAATTGGTGGACTATTTTGTGAACTGCGTTTAGTACAAAGTCGTAGCTTTGCCTTCGTTTTCGGTGTTGTAGCCTTCGCAACATCTCCTGTTATTGCAATTTTGGTCGCTGGAGCAGCGATTACATGCTGCGTTGACTCATTTTTTACCTGCTTTTCATCTTGATGATGCGTTTGATTGACCACATGTTTTCCTTTTGAAGATGAAGCAGCGCACAGCATTTCAGTGGCTCGAAGAAGCTCCTGGACAGTTGTATCGTAGCGTAAACGTCGCTTGTTAGCCGGCGCTTTGCAGATGGGGCACAATGCTTTGAGCTCCAGCGCACGATGGATGCATTCTTCACAGAAACAATGATTACAGGGCAATGAAACAGAATTGTCGTATGGGCACAGGCAAATAGAGCACTGCAATTGTGCCGAGAAGTTCTCCACGGCACGCTTCAGCCTCTCAAGCGTCCATGCGCTATTCTCGCCAGCGAAATGTTGATCCATTTAATTTTTAAAGTTGCACGAAGGTTGCATTTACCGTTTTATAATTGGTTAGAAATTACAAAATACGTTCTGCTATGTCGCTGGACGAATCGTCGGTCCTGATGGATCGCGCACTTGTGACCATATGCCAGGATTTACCGGAGTCACTCGGGCTGTACAATACGGCAAAAGACCAATTTTCGTTGGCGGCAATTCGTTCAGTACCACTGCTCGAACACGTGGGTTCAGACTCGCGCAAGTTTGTACTGATCCGTGACTGGATGCGCGCGTACGAGTCGGCTGAGGATCAGCCGCTAACGCCAGAGATTAGCATGGATTCTCTTAAGGAGACTGTGCGACGTGAGCGGAAGGAGATTGAACGTAAGCTGCGGGATGAGAAACACGCGTTGCTGACAAGCGCCGACAGTGAAACAAAAAAGAAGAAGCGACAACGTAAGAAAAAGAAAGCGACCGAAGAAAAAAGTTATGTCAAGAATAGTGGAAAAGCTTGCGGGAAGAAAAAGGAAAGACTTAAAGATAGCCATAGTCAGACGAAGAGCGTTACCTCGAAATGCCGAGTGCAAATGGATAGCGACGACGACATGCTGTCAATTGACGAGTCTAGTAACTCCAGCGCCGAATCGTCGTTAGAATCCTCATCATCCAGTGAGTCCAGAGGAGGCAATTTGAGGAAGAAGAAGAAGTCGACCGATAATTTGCCGCCGAAAGAGATAGTCCTTTCTTCTGATGAGGATGAAGAAGAGCCTGATGACATGTTTGATACAGCTGACCCGGATGTATACGAGGTGGAGAAGATTATTCGAAAAAAAGCCAGCGACTGTTATGGCGAACCAGACTTATATGAAGTCAAGTGGGAAGGATACGACGAAACGACGTGGGAGCCTGCGAGCAACATCTCTAAAGATCTCATTGATGAGTTTGAGGGCCAACCTGTTCGAGAAGATGTTTACGTGGTAGAAGAAATTCTTGATCGTCGTAGTAAGCACGATCCATCTACAAGATTGAAGACTCATCAGTATAAAGTCAAATGGGTTGGCTACGATGAGGTCACGTGGGAGCCTGCCGAAAACCTACCGCACAATTTACGGCGAAAATTTGATCAAAAGTATAAAAGCCGGAAGCGCCGACGGAAATAGGGCGGTATTTATAATGATGACACATGTCATACATACGAGTAACATTTAACTACCGGTATTGTAATTTGTTATCCTCCCCCTATTCAAGAGCAATTATTTTCTGTTGAAGACTAAATCAGCTGAATCATTGAGTGCTACCTAAATTCCTTACCTCCCTAAGCAAGATTCATGAGTGGAGTGGAGAGTCTTTTGCTTGAAAGCGACGAGGAGGACTTGGGGGAGCTGGATCTGTCAGCCATCACGCTGGAGGAGATTTTGCGCGAGGAGGAGCTGGCCAGTAAAAGCTTAGAAGACACCGATGGCTCCACTCAGGACGAAGACGATTTATTTTTTACGCCCGCCACTTTTAAGCTCAATATTGAGCCAGGTCCAGGTATGGATGTGATACCAGCGCCTAGTATTTCGCCTTCAGTTATGCCAAAGAACGAGTCACAGCTTCGAACCCCTTTACAGATTGCCGAGGCCAGAGAAAAGCAACTATTAAGTTGTGTAGGAGTAGAGCTCATCTCTCCACTGCAAGTGAAGCGTCGATTACGCGCCAATGCTCGGTCTAAGGCTTTGAAGTCTCGGAGAGAGGGACACATTGCCACGAAAACAAACCAGAGGAAGATGAAAGTAACAGAAGGCACAACGGCAGCTACAACCGAGAAGAAATCTCGAGGAGTGGTTAAAGTGGAGCCCATGGAAGCCATCAGTCGACAATTGAGAAAGAACATTGAGTTTAAAGAGTACGGACCTGGCTCTCCCACTGTCGTGGCCATTCATTCCAAGTTTATTGCAATTGGAACGTCAAAAGGACTAGTGATTATTTTTGATCACTTTCAAAATATACGACAAGTATTAGGTAATATAAACGATGCCGATGGAGACGGACCTGTGACAGCCGTGGACGTGTCACCTGGCAGCGATTATCTGGTATGTGGTTATCAAAGTGGTCGTATTGTGCTGTGGGATATGATCAAGGGGACATCACTGAAGGCCGTGTCAGATGTCCATGAGAATCCTGTCGTGAGTCTCCGCTTTTTAAAAGATCAAAAACCAGTTTTGGTCTCAGTGGACACAAATGGACTCGTCAACAAGCTTAATTTTTCAAAAATGATGGGAATGGTTTACGTAGTAGATGTGGATCCACTTTACGATGGCTCAGCGGGTAAAATCAAGTCAATATCTGTCTTACCTCAGTCTGCCGGAAATGCCAAGATTTCTTACTTGACCGATCAGTACTGTTTGGCTGCACTGAGTACAGAGACAGTGACGTTTATAATCGCGATTGAGCCGGAGGTTCGGGTAATTTACCGCTGGGCCCGACCTGAGGACATTGCGCCCGATGATCCAGTCCTCCCATCTTTGGCTTTTGCGTGGATTTCATTTCCAGGAAGCTCTCGAGCTTTGGCTCCTGTGCTGGCACGTGGCTGGGGAAACCGAGTACAGTTCCTGGAAGTCGTGTTTCCTGGCGGCAAAAATCATTCGCACGGGCGTCATGGTTTTCCTACATTTGATGAACACGATCAAATTGAGTCTTCAAGTGCTGTGATGGCTATTCAGTGGCTGGGCGATCAAGTGGTTGTGTATCTGAATTCGCACGATGAAATTTGTGTATACGACGTCATGTCTCGGCAGGAACTTGAGATTGTAGACGTTTCATCGCTCGAGCTAGTGTTCGCATCCTATCGCGGCAATAATGCCCGTAGTTTTTCTAATAGCTTTCGTGGATGTTACAACATCTTGTATCTGCTGGGACTCAAAGAGCTACAAACGGCTCGTGTACTGCCATGGACACAGCGTATTGATTTGTTGGTGGATGACGGCGAATGGCTTGAGGCTCTTGCACTTGCTTTGGACCACTATGAGGGACTGAAGGTTGCTGCAGCTGATCGTGCAGCAAGAGACCGATTTCCTCCTGTCTTCTTTCGTGACAAGCAGAATGATCAGTGTCTTGTGGACATCTTACACATGTGCCAGACCAATCAGCGTACTGGTGAAAAAGAGGATGTCTTCCGACATGAAGAAAGTGCTGATGAAGTACGTTGGGTGTGTGGCGAGGTGCCATATCCAGCGGACATTGCGAAGAAGTTGGAGGAAACGCTTCAGAAGGCGCGTAGTGGCGAAGTGACGAAAAATTTTGTGCCAATAAGCGTGGCTGAGCGTGTAGCCGATCTGCTTATGGAGTATGTGCGTCTAGCGATTGCCAATGCTCCCGGCTCTATAGCTGCAGCTGGTGGTGAATTGAGCCTCAACAAGATTGGGATGAAGCTCGACTTGACAAAAAGTCACTATCAGATGCTGGCCGGCGTTTGCATTGAGTACTGTGCTCTCATAAATCGCACAGACCTTTTGTTTGGTGAGATTTACACCCGGTTTAAAGAAGCAAACAAGCTGAGTGTGCTGGTGGAGCTGCTGGAGCCTTACATTCTTTCTGAAAAGCTGAGAAACTTATCTCCGGTGGCTATGGAGGAGTTTGTGCAGCATTTTAGTGCCCAAGGAAAGCTTGCTCAGGTAGAGCAGTGCTTATTGCATCTAAATGTGGCTGAACTCGACATGGACACGATTCTCAAGCTATGTCACGATCACCAGCTTTATTCAGCTCTTATTTATATTTACAATGAAGGCATTGACGACTTTACAACGCCAATTGATGTTCTGCTGGAGGCCTGTTCAAATGCGACGGCATCAACGAACAGACCAGCATTGGAGTCATCTGCACGTGCTTTTCGAGAACCGTCTGGAAGCCGTGTTAGCAGTTTAGCGTCAGCGTTTGGCGGTACAACTCGGACGACTAGCTCTAAAGTTGCAATTGCTAAGCCTGCTGCATTGTCAGCACGCGAGGAAGCAGAAGAGAAGGTGCTAGGTGGATCCCGACGTCGGCGATTGTTCGGATACAAGTTGCTGCTGTACATTTCCTATGCGTTTAGTGGTCGCACGTTCCCAAAGAACGAGCCAATTCCTCTTGGGAAGCTCGGAAGAGTGCGTTCGCAGATTTGCTATCATTTGTTTGAAAGGACTGTGGCAGGCTTGTCTAGCTCGCGAGCATATCCGCGTCTCGAGACGCTCATCGACCTTGATGCACGTGAGCTTTTTAGTATCATGGGTCGGATGTTTGACATGCCAAGTGTTGAGTTCGAAGGCGAAAAGAAAGACGGATCGGATCGGCCCACAAGCCGGTACGATTCGGCTCGCAACGCGGAGATGACTAAGTGTCCGAGTCGATTATCTATTGTTTTGTCACTTGCTGAAGTCATATTTGACCCTAAAAGCCCATTCAGTTCAGTAGAACATGCTCACTTTTTCATGTTTGAAGCTCGGTTGCTTAGTGGAGGCTCCATTGAGCCACAAGAGTACGCGGATGCACGTGCCTCGGCTATCGGTGATGCTGGGTCGGCAGACGGTGCGTCTATGATGGACTCGCTGATGAACTTTCTAGCTCTTGGTCCAGCATCGCTTCTTTCCAACGGCTCGTCGGCTGTTTCGGCTGAGACTTCACAAGAAGAAGGATTTGATAAGGCCGGCCGTGAGGCGATGCTAGTGCGCCTGCTGACGAAACTGAACAAAGCCACTTACAACCACGATGCTTTGCTAACGAGTGTTATTCGTGAAAAGATGAATCGCGCTGCAGTGCTATTATACAAGGATAAGGGTGACTTTTTTGAGGCAATTGCTTCGTACCTGGCTGATGAAGATCACGAGTACCAGATGAATGCTTTCAGTTATATTCGCTTGGAGACGGACAAAGCAGTGGATGGAGAAGAAATGGAGATACAGGACGGTAATGCTGAATCTACTCGTCGCCGCCGAAAGGTTATTGAGGAGGCCGTGCTGGGCCACGCTCCGGCACTAATGAAGACGGACGGCTACGCGTTTGTCACGCTGATCCTGGGCCAGTTTCCTCAGTTAAATAACAAAATCATCCAAAAATTCTTGTCTATGGGAAAAGGGGGAGCTGAACTTGAGTTCTTGTATCTCAAGCAGATTCTTATGGCCTCCTCAACTACAACTGTTAGCAACGCAAGTGATGAAGCTGATGTTGTAAAAGAGTTATTGGAGCGTTCAAAGCTTCGCATTGCTGACGATCCTGCCGTCCAAGAGCGTTTTGTACGTCTTTTGTGTGAATTCGAACCTACTGGTGTCTTCCCGTATCTTGAATCACACGACAGTTACAAGGTCGACGCTTGTCTACGGTTATGCAAGGAGTTCTCCATCACCGACGCCGAAGCGTATCTGCTTGAGCGAACCGGCGACGTCACTGGAGCCCTAACATTGATTCTGCAAAGTTTGGAACAGAAACTGAAGATTCTTAAACCGGCTTTGCGTGGTTACAACGTCTCTGCTGTAGCTGCGTCGTCGACTGTTGCGTCAGAAATACTTTTAAACGCTTCCAGTGGACCCAGTAGCAACAGTGCGGTGGTATCCAGACACCAGTCGTCCGATCGCATTATTGATAGCGTGCAAGAGGGAAAAGATGCCATGAAAACGCTTGAAGTAGCGTTAACCATGTGTCAGCGTAACTCACTACGTAATCGGGATGAACAAGCTGAAAAGCTTTGGTTTACGCTGCTGGACAAGCTGTTGCGAATCCAAAACTCGGTCAAACGCAGTCTGAGCTCGAAGACCTCGTCGCGTAATGTACCGGTCAGCCGAAATCACAGTGGGAGTGCTATGACTGCGTTTCAAGTAGCACTAAACGAGATGATTCGGTTTATTCTCGAGCGCATGGCATCTTCTGTATCGCTCAAATCGATTCTTTTTAAGATTACCAACGAGCACGGTCGTGGTGCCTTTGGGGACTTTCGGCCGACAATTTTTGGTATGTTAGACACGTATAACTACGAGCAGAACATTTACCAGACTGCAAATGCGCTTATCAGCGTAGATTTGTTTGATCAGATTACGACGCTCAAGCGAGCCAGGTCGCGATGTTACGCTACTCCGTCCAATGTGTGTGGATACTGTCATGTTGCGCTGTCCAAGCCGCCCTTTGGGATGGGTCAATCTGGAGCTCCAGGGACTGAGAAATGGCATTTACATACGTCCATGGTTCTAGTCATGTCGGGTCAAACTTTTCACGAGTCGTGTGGAAAAGCGTGGCAACAAGGTGTGGACATAAAGACGCCGGCCGCTCGCGGAAATCCGGTGGGAAAGCTTACGCGAAACCAAAGCTCAATCAGCAATGTGACTGGT